AGTAACAATATTTATTATAGGTGATGTATTCTTGATGGTAAAATTAGGTGATTGTCTTAGGTCACAACTTACTGTCAGAATGTCCAGTTCATTGGACCAGCAGGTCAGATTTAGTTGTCATCCAAGGTAACAGTCAACTGTCAGAATGGTGAGTTTAATGGTCCAGCCAGTGTAGGCTTAGCTATTTACCATATGTACTTTCAAAAATGTTATTTTTATCATCACATTTAAGGTAAAAATTAATCAGTTTGTGTCCACGTAACTGTGTCTGATTTGACTTTCTCAAATAAAGACAAATATTTAATATAGGAAGTTGGTGTTGACTTTATTTTCACCTATTTATGTGTTTTTTCATTACACATCCTTATTTTGAAAACAAAATGCCAGACTACAAAACTTTTTCTTTTGTCTCAGTTGGAATTAATAGTATTATCGTTTCTACTTAAATTTTTTAAAGTTTTAAATTCTTCTAAACTTAAACTTAAAAAAGTCTTATTCACTGTTGTAATAATTAATAAAATCAGATATGCTACTGATCTGAGTTCTAATATTGATAAAATATTTATCTCGGTTATTCCAGAATTGTTGATGTGACAGTATTTGTAAATAAAACTCAATGCCTCAACTGATTGTCTTGTTAATGATTTCAATAAATGATTTCTTTTGTCAAATTTCAAAATTAATTAATTAATGATAATGTTTAGAGTGGTAAAACTGGGGAACAGAAACTTTAAGATCAAAGAAATGAGGGAATACTTTCAAATGTTTGCATTCATTCATAAAATATAAGTGTAGTCTTTCAGCGTTTCTAGATAAGAGTTATTACTGATGTACATTGTTTGTTTGATGATGTTAGCAGTTGATTTATTCTTGGGGAATCTCAAAAATAATAATATAAACGTTAAGACTAAATAAACTATCAGCCTACTCATACACTAACCTGATTCCATTACCCTTTCACTTTTATTTTTACTAACCAAAATCAGGAAAAGTTGAAATTTTGGATTGTAATTTGTAGCAGAATGGCAGCGTTACGAAAGTGGTACAGTCACGGTCTACTATAAAAACAATATCAAATCAGAATCCAATACTTAAGGAAACCTTCCATGTTTATAGAATAACCCCAACTACTTATTTCATATATCACAAAAATACACCATAAAAATATAAACTACATGTAATATTTCAATATTAAATAAGATAAGCATCACTAACAAGCTAATATTAACGAAAGTAATCCATCAAAAATGATAAATCCTCCACTTCTTAAGAAAAACAAAACACATAAATGATTTAAATACTAAAACCTCTTTCCACTGGCCACAAGCTTTCAGGTTTTACCTTAGTACAGCATCAGGTGAGATAAATAAAGACAATTCTTAAGATGTCTGTTATCAAACGACTACATTTTTATAACAGTGTAAGTAAGTTACTACTAGTTCCAACGATGTTTATGGAGGG